GCTACTTGGGAGGCTGAGGCAGGAGACTCGCTTGAGCCCAGGAGTTGGAGGTTGCTGTGAGCGTGATGCCATGGCACTCTACCCAGGGGGATAGTTTGAGGTTCCATCTCAAAAACAACAACAACAACAACAACAACAACAACAACATTGGGTTGGCACCTGCAGCCCAGTGGTTATGGCAACAGCCACATACGCCAAGGCTGGCAAGTTTACACCTGGCCCAAGCCAGCTAAACAATGACAAATGCAACAAAAAAATAACTGGCTGTTGTGGTGGCCACCTGTAGTCCTAGCTACTTGGGAGGCTGAGGCAAGAGAATCGCTTAAGCCCCAGAGTTTAAGGTTGCTGTGAGCTGTGACACCATGGCACTCTACTGAGGGTGATATAACAAGACTCTGTCTGAATAAATAAATAAATATACTTAAAAGGAATTAAAATGATGCACTAGGAAATATCTATTTAATATAAAGGAAGCCAGTAAACAATGAGCATAAGAACAAAAAGACATGAAGAGATAAAAAAACACACTGCTAACTGGCAGATGAAAATCCAACCAGTCTGGACGTGGTGGCTCATATCTGTTATCCCAGCATTCCCAGAGACTGAGACAGGTGGATTGCTGCAAGAGTTTGAGACCAGCCTGAGCAAGAGCAGACTCAGACTCTACTAAAAAGAGAAAAACCAGCTGGGCATTGTGACAATCTGTAGTCCTAGCTACTTGAAAGGCTGAGCCAAGAGAATTGCTTGAGCCCAGGAGTTTGAGGTTCCTGTAAGCTTTAATGCCATGGCACTTTACCCAGGTGACACTCTGTCAAAAGAAAGAGAGAGAGAGAAAGTCCAACCAACAACAAGAACGTGTAATATGAATAAATTAAACACTCTAATCAAAATCATGTAGAGATTGCCAGGCTGGATTTAAAAACAAAAGCTTCAACTATCAGCTGTCTACAAGAGACATGCTTTAGAAACAAAGTTGGAAAAGGTCCAAAGCAAAAAGATGGGGAAAGATTTGCTACACAGAAAATAACCCTATGAGAGCTGAGTTGCCATACTAATATCAGACCAAACAGAGTTTAAGATTAAAATTCTTACCAGAGGAAAAAAGAAACATTTTATAGTAACACAAAATTGGCCAGGTGCGGTGGCTCTTGTCTGTAATCCTAGCAGTCTGGGAGGCCAAGGATGGAGGTTAGGAGTTTGAGAGCAGCCTGGGCAATTTATCAACACTGTTTCTTTGAAAAAAAAAAAAAAAAGGCCGAGATGGGTGGATTGCTTGAGGTTACAGGTTTGAGACCAGCCTGAGCAAGAGTGAGACCTTGTCTCTAAAAAATAGCCGGGCATGGGCAGCGCCTGTGGCTCAAGAAGTAGGGTGCCAGCCCCATGTGCCAGAGGTGGTGGGTTCAAACCCTGACCTGGCCAGA